AGGACTGACCAATGGCTGGTGACAGGAGAGGAAGGACTGACCAATGGTTTGTGACATGAGAGAAAGGACTGACCAATGGTTGGTGACAGGAGAGGAAGGACTGACCAATGGTTTGTGACAGGAGAGGAAGGACTGACCAATGGTTTGTGACATGAGAGAAAGGACTGACCAATGGTTGGTGACAGGAGAGGAAGGACTGACCACTCGATGGTGAGGGTAAGGGTAGGAATAGCCAATAGTTGGTGACAGGAGGAGAAAGACTGACCAATGGTTGGTGACATAGAAGGAGGAACCAATGGTTGGTGACAGAGAAGGAGGAACCAATGGTTGGTGAATGGAGGTGGAGAACCTCACCAATCGTTGGTGAATGGAGGTGGAGAACCTCACCAATCGTTGGTGAATGGACAGAGAGGGCTGACCACTAGTTAGTGGTGGGAAGAGGAGGATTGATCAATGTTTGGTGATGGGAACAACCAATAGTTGGTGAATGCATGGGAGAACCTCACCAATGGTTGGTGAATAGTTATAGAGGGCTGAACAAGTAGTTGGTGATGGGAGGGGGAGGCCTGATCTGTGGTTGGTGATGGGACGGGGAGGACTGACCGGTGGTTGGTGATGGGACGGGGAGGACTGACCGGTGGTTGGTGATGGGACGGGGAGGACTGACCGGTGCTTGGTGATGGGACGGGGAGGACTGACCGGTGGTTGGTGATGGGACGGGGAGGACTGACCGGTGGTTGGTGAATGGACAGAGAGGGCTGACCACTAGTTAGTGGTGGGAAGAGGAGGACTGATCAATGTTTGGTGATGGGAACAACCAATAGCTGGTGAATGCATGGGAGAACCTCACCAATGGTTGGTGAATAGTTATAGAGGGCTGAACAAGTAGTTGGTGATGGGACGGGGAGGCCTGACCTGTGGTTGGTGATGGGACGGGGAGGACTGACCTGTGGTTGGTGATGGAACGGGGAGAACTGACCGGTGGTTGGTGATGAGACAGGGAGGACTGACCGGTGCTTGGTGATGGGAAGAGGAGGACTGACTGGTGCTTGGTGATGGGACGTGGAGGACTGACTGGTGATGGGACGTGGAGGACTGACTGTTGATGGGACGTGGAGGACTGACTGGTGATGGGACGGGGAGGACTGACTGGTGATGGGACGGGGAGGACTGACTGGTGCTTGGTGATGGGACGGGGGGGAATGACCGGTGGTTGGTGGGGGG